TACTGTAGTAAATCCATACAATAAAATAACACACTATGATGTATCTGTGCAACATTGATCTGTAATTAAACTCCTCTTTGAATCTCATCTTACAGCACAAACATGAATGAAGTCACCGTGACCATCGCGGGGTCCGTGTGTGACGTCCAGTCCACGAACAACACGCACATCATCTGTGTGACCAACTCCCAGGGACAGTCCCAGGAAACCAAAGTCCGACTCAGCGTCGGAGACCAGGGCATCGCCAGGATGGTGAGAGAAGATCCGGCGTCACATCATGTCTGCTTCGTGTCTACATCGACACTGCGTCTCGTCTGATGTCTGTCTCTTTCTTCAGGACAACGCTGATTTCTTCTACATCGACGTGTGGTCGTCCAGGTTCACGTGGGGCGGTCTGTCTCCACCAGAGAGGGGCTCGTTCGCCGTCATCACTAAAGGCCAGACCATCCTTCTGGACACCAACACCCCTGTGCTGAAAATGCTTCTTATCAAAGGTATCCACTTTCTATCATGGATTTGCAATGACAGACGGAAGTTATGTTAAATTCTGATTTGATGTCAGATGTGTTTTTCCTTTTCCTCATCTCGGAAGTGAAATTAACTTTAGATCAGTTTGTTGTGGGAGCATTTTCTGAATTCTGTTTTGTTGTAACTGGTGCAGTGAGATAATATATGATCACATATGCAGACATGTATCTGCTCAGACACCAGACAACACTCTGCCATTGTTGTCTCATTATTTGTTCTGTGACGTTTCTTTGTTCTCAGGAGGAACGTTGGTGTTTGATGAAGCGGACCTTGAGCTGCAGGCAGAAAACATCCTCATCACAGACGGCGGGCGGCTGCAGATTGGAACAGAGGATGCGCCTTTTCAGCATAAAGCCATCATCACGCTGCACGGAAACCAGCGCTCACCTGAACTTCCCGTTTACGGCACCAAGACGCTGGGTGTCAGAGAGGGAATTCTGGACCTCCATGGTATAAACACACACAAACGCATTAGTGTTCAGACACTTCATCATTTATATATATATGTTGTTTCCAGATGCAGACACAACACTGACTGAGCTGTTTAAAAAAAATGAATTAGTCAGAATCAGTGACCCAAATGTTCCAAAACCCAGATAACATGTCACAAAGTCCCGTAATGTAAAGATGACGGAGTAATTTGAGTTGTGCGTCCCGCAGCAATGTTAGTATTAGTGACACCTCACGCGCCCCCATAGAAGCAAGTCATTGTTGACAACCTGTTTCTCCAGGTATCCATGTTCCTGTTACCTGGACCCACTTGGCCCAGACTGCCACCAAGGGATCCAACACGTTGACCCTGATGAAGGCGGTGACCTGGAAAACTGGAGACATGATCGTCATCGCCTCAACCGGGGACAGGTAGAGTCTCAAACACATGACGACACATGATTCACCCAATAAAGTTCACTTGTCTCTTGTGTTTAAAGCTTTGTGAAGGGCCATGATATTTATTTTATTATACTCTATATCGTCGTTTATCTTTTGTTTCCAGGCACAGTCAGAGAGAAAACGAGGTGAGACACATCGCCTCAGTGTCAGCTGATCAAACGACGCTGACCCTGACCAAACCTCTGGAGTACACTCATCTCGGAGTGACCGTCACGCTGCCGGACGGCTCGGTGATCGAGGGCCGAGCTGAGGTGGGTCTCCTCACCAGGAACGTTGTGGTGCGAGGAGCTGAACACCAGGAGTGGAAGGACAAGATCGAAGCATGTCCCGAAGGCTTCAACACAGGTGCTGAGGTTTTTTTTTTTTTTTTCCACATTGAATGAGACAAAATATTTTTCACAGTAACTTTCACAATCAGCAGCATTTAGTTTGGATATTTTCCAGTTAGAAACAATATAATCACTTTTCGTAGTTATCAAATCAAATAATGATATTTTAACTGGAACCAGAAAACAGATTTTGCTTAAAAATTATATGTGTTTGTCGATAAATCAGATAAAACAGAAATTTGAAGCTTTTCATATTCAAGAAATTAATTTAAGAGGGATACGTGTGGGATAACAACAACATTGTTCGTCTTTCTCTTGTGCTGCAGGTGAATTTGCCACTCAAACCTGTTTCCAAGGACGGTTTGGGGAGGAGGTCGGCAGCGATCAGTTTGGAGGCGCCATCATGTTCCACGCACCCGTACCCAATAAGAATCTTGCGATTGGCAGAATCTCACATGTTCAGGTGAAATGTTTTTCCTGCTAAAACTTCTTTACATGCAGCGAATTATATTGATCAGAATACTTTTATTTTTCTTAACATTCAAACATTAACTTTTAAAGTCTTTACGCTCTCGTGCCACAGATCTACAACGCAGGACAGGCCTTCAGGCTGGGACGTTACCCCATCCACTGGCATTTGATGGGAAACGTCGACTACAAGTCGTACGTGAAGGGTTGTGCGATCCATCAGACTTACAACAGGGCCATAACCATCCACAACACTCACCGGCTGCTGGTGGAGCGCAACGTCATCTACGACATCATGGGGGGGGCCTTCTTCATCGAGGACGGCATAGAGACGGAGAACATCCTGCAGTACAACCTGGCTGTGTTCGTCAAACAAAGCACCAGCCTGCTGAACGACGACGTCACTCCCGCCGCCTACTGGGTCACCAATCCCAACAACATCGTCCGCCACAATGCCGCGGCGGGGGGCACCCACTTTGGTTTCTGGTACCGCATGCATGAGCACCCTGACGGCCCGTCCTACGACCCAAACATCTGCCAGAAGAGGGTTCCCCTCGGGGAGTTCTTCAACAACACCGTGCACTCTCAGGGCTGGTTCGGCATCTGGATCTTTGCCGACTACTTCCCCATGAAAAATGGAGGCTGCCGCTCCTCTACCCCCGAACCTGCAGTCTTCAAGTCCCTCACCACCTGGAACTGTGAGAAGGGTGCTGAGTGGGTCAACGTGGGCGCCGTGCAGTTCAGTGACTTCCGCATGGCCAACAATGAGAAAGCCGGCATTGAAGCCAAGCGGATCATGCGATGGGCAGTGTCTGCTTTTGGAGAAGATGGAGGGGCGACAGTGTCCAACAGCACCATTGTGGGTCATGTGGATGAGCTCGGAATGGGAAGCAATTACTGCACGCACCGAGGTGTCATCACGCCATTTGACGACGGCATGAGTGTCCTTAACACCAAGTTCATCAACTTTGACCGCAGCTCCTGTGCCGCCATCGGAGTAACCAAAATCGACGGGACATGTGCGGATCGCTGTGGCGGCTGGAGCGTCAACTTTAAAGGCATCCAATATTTTAACTCACCCAACAAGGCCAGCTTCAGATGGGAGCACGAGGTGCAGCTGCAGGACACTGACGGCTCCCTCACAGGTCTGTTTTTATTCTCTTTGTGCAAACTTACAGAAAATGATTCTACTCCTTCCCAGCATGTCTGTGACTGTATGTTTGAGCTTAAGTTAATCATACAGCAAATCATTTGGACTTAATTCAGTGACAGATTAATAAAAGTTTTGTTCTCTAGATGTCTTAATAAATGATCTCACGTGCTGTTTACTCCCATCACGACCACGCGTCTCTTCCAGGAACCATCAACCAGAAAGTCGTTCCCATGAGCCCCTTGCTGGACCCTGCTCACTGCACCCAGAGTGCCGAGTGGAGCGTGGGGTTCCCCGGTGCAGTGTGCGACCACACCGTCCAGTTCCATCGCTTGGCATTCAACAATCCCACGCCCACCTCTCTGAAGGCCAAGGACGCCATCTTCACGAACTCACACGGTATTGAAACCCACAGGAGCGGTGACTTACTATATCCGTTATCTTTGTTGACCCCTGCTGGTGGTTTGTGAGAACTGCAGTAAATGTGTGTGCTCACTATTACAGGCACCAGTGTGGTCCCCTATCTGAAGAAGAGAATGACTCATAAGCTCGGCTGGATGGCTCTGCTGCCGTCCCAGCAAACATACAACTTTTACTTCGATAACATGGACCAAATCACCAACATCACGTATCAGTCCAAATTCTACGGCTTCAAGGTGATGAAACATCCAAGTTCCTATGAGTTCCGTCAACACGCATCACGTCTTTCTGCCGACTTACACTTCCATATCTTCTCGTACGTCTCCCCACAGGCTGATCAATATCTGATCATCAACCACAACTTCACCCAGAGTCCGGACAGCTTCCGTATAATCGATAGGAGGAACGGATCAACGGCGCCGCTGAGCTTCGGCAACAACAGCAACGGAGACTGGTACTTCGATGAAAGCTCCAACAACCTCTACTATTTGGGTACAGTGCTCATTTTAAACATCGAGTCATCACGTAACACTATCATTAGAAATATTCACTGATTTGTATGTTGACATATGCATCGTGCAGGATATAAAGACAAAAGTTATTGTTTTAATTAGCAGTGTTGTCGTTGTTAATTAACAGATCGGTCATCTTTGCTCTTTCCTCTCAGTGTCCGGCAAGAAGAGCGGCCGCAGGCGTCGTAACAGCGTTGACCGCTCCATGCTTGATGTGGCGGTCAACTTTGCCGTCTACCGCTGCTTCTACCCCAACTGCATCCCACCGACTCCAGCGCCTCCAGCCACACTGGCCCCCCTGCCCACCGGCCGGCCGGACGACTTCATGTATGTTTAACCCCCTCTTGAACTTTTATAAATGATGAAGCCATCAGACATTCTCAGCACCAGGTTGAAGCATCTCATGTGATCTGAAAAAGGTTTTTTACGATAATATAGAGTCACTGAAAACCTTTTTATCGCTGGAGCAGTTAAAAACTTGATTGTGTTGACAGTGGTTTGGTCTTTGTTGTGTGACACGTTGCGTCTCTGTGTGTGTTTCTCTCCAGTCGATGGTCAAACGCCTCCTTCTGGGGAAGTTCAGCTGAAAATAACTTCACCGCACCAGCAGATGGCGCTGATGTGGTCATCCCAGCAGGTAAATATACATCCAGAGGAAAACCAAATTCATTTTCTATAAACCAAAAGAAAAGAAAACTGCTGAAGAGATGTTCATTGTTTCATCCACCTGAGCAGTTTAATGTCAAGATGTCCTTCTCAGGGACGCAGGGACATACGATTGACTGGGAATTCAAGTGACTCTCTAAAATAAGTTTGTTTGAGGCAGCTCTCATGCTCGTATTGTTGACGTCACTCCACAGGGAAGTGGGTGGTTCTGGACAGCGACACTCCGAAACTCAACAAGCTGACGGTCATCGGGGTTCTCGAGATCCCCGACAGCATGAACAGCTCGTCCACCAGAACTTCTCGATCCACACCAGTGTACAGCACCTTGGTGATCGACGCCGTCTACATCTCCATCCAGGTCGGTGTCGTCAATAATCTTTATTTCTGATTTAACGCCTAATGTGCAAGTTCCTGGAGGCCTTTGTGTTTCCTGTTTGGAGAGTTTCATGTGCCTGTAGCAGCAGAAGACGCTTTAGTTGATATCCAGGTGCAGAACAAGCACCAGGTTCACCATGACTTAGAAGGAAAGGGAGAGAGCGCCACCAACAGAAAATCCAAAATGGTGCAGTTAAAACAACGTGTGTTCAGCAAGGTGACGTCTGCTGCTGTTTCAGGGCGGGCGGCTGATCGCTGGATGGGACGACAAACCATTCAGAGGGGAGCTGCACTTTAAACTGAGAGGGAACCACCGCACTCCAGACTGGCCTCTGCCCAACGGACCCAACCAGGGATCCAAAGTCCTGGGTAAGAAATCAGCATCAGGACCAACTTCTCACCTGAACTAACAGAAACTCTGATCGAGCTTGTTAAAAATATGTGCATCACACATTTATAAATACCTGTAATTGTCGATCATTTAAAAAAGGTTTATTAACGTGTCGGAGCTGACTGTGTTTATCCTGCATCAGGTGTGTTTGGAACACTGGAGCTTTATGGACAACCTCATAATGTTTATCACACAAAACTCGCCGCCACTGCGTCGGCTGGATCCAACACGCTGACACTGTCGCAGTCCGTCGACTGGCAGGTCTGTGTGCTTTCATAAGAGAGAATTCAATCACAGTTTAATCTCTTTTTAATGTATTGTGATTTATTTACACGTGTTCCTCTGTGTCCCTCTGCAGGTCGGAGACGAGGTTCTCATCTCCACCACCAGCTACAGCGCCTGGGAGACGGAAAAACGTCACATCAGCGCCGTGTCACCAGACGGACGCACCCTGACCCTGAACAACTCTTTGACCCACACTCACATCGGTCAGAGAGCGCTACACAAACTGATAACCTGTCATTTACATGTTTGTTGGTTGCAGACTAAACTTTAGTTAAAATAGTAAAACCAAAACACACAAATTCCAAACAAGTAGCTTAGCAGTGTTTATTTTAATAAATCTTATTTACTTACATTTGTAGATTTAGCTGCCTCCATATTTCCACTGGATTTAATCAACATCTCTTTGTGAGGGCTCTGATTTCACAGATTTGTATTTTTATTAGATTTCATTGAAACAAGCTGAACTGTTTTTAAAACTGAACTGTTTGTGTGAGACATTAAAATACTGACTCTGTGTTTCTCCATCTCTGTGCAGGTGAGACTCACTCAGTCTCAGGAACATCTCGCTCCTACACTCTGGCTGCTGACGTCGGCCTCCTGACCCGAAACATCAAGATCATCGGTCAGGAGTACCCGGACATGATGAAGGACTCGTTTGGAGCCAGACTGCTGGTTGGTACTTACTCCTGGGCTGGAATCGACTATAAAGGTCCGTAAAAACATTTATAGATTTT